TTAATTAATAATAAATAAATAAATAAATAGAAAATTTTTTTTTTAAAATAAAATTGTACGTTTAAAAAAAATAAATAAATAAATAATTTCCAATATGTGACTTAATAAAATTCAAAAAATAAATAAATAATAATATACATAATTTTATTATTATTATTATTATTACCTGAATGTTTATTATTATTAATAATTATTTTATGACGTGTGATGACGTGTGAATCATTGGTTTTTTTTTATTGTTGCAATCAATAAATTGTTTTACGTGTTAAAATTTGTAAATTATCGATTGAATCATGTAAATGTCAACAATCAATTTATTACGTTGTTGTTGTTGGTTGTTGGTTGTTGTTGTTGTTGTATTTACACGTTCGAATATTTATTAGGTTAAATAAAACAGAAAAAAAAAGTGGTAACTAATAATGAATAAAATGGTTTATTATTTTGACAAACGTTATGATTTGTTTGTTTATCCTATGTTTGTTTGTTGTTTGTTTGTGTCGTTTTTGTTAAAATGTTTTTGCAAAGTACATCGTTATGATAAAAAGATTTGAATGACGTCATAAATAAATTTAATCGTTTTAATTTAGAAAAAAATTTTAATAAAGAAAAAAGGTGAAAATTGGTGGTGTGGTTGTTATTAACTTACGATGAAAAACTGGAAAAAAATTTTTACACGTCACGTCATTTAAAAAAAAATTACTTTCCAGGAATTTCCAAAAAAAAAAAAAAAAAAAAAAAACATGGCCGATTATTTTTCCAATAAAATAACAATTTAAAAAAAAAAATTATTGCGATGCGTCATTTCTTAAACCGGAAATGAAAAACAAGAAAAAAAAATTTTTTAATATAATAATTAAGCCGGATATTTAGAAGTTAATTTTTATATTTAATATAAAAAATTTTATTAAACGTTTTGAAATAATAATAATAATAATAATACTTCTTCGAAACGTTAATAACTTATTAATTAATATTTATTTTATTATTATTAATATTTATTACGAAAAAAAAAAAATTATAAGACGAAAAAATTAGAGTGTAAGGAAACGAGCGACCCTTGTTAAAAAATTATACGAAAAAAATTTTTAAAAAATAACTAATTAACAATCATCGATTGATTTGATCGATTATCGATCGATTTTTAATAACGGAAAAAAAACTTTAACAGTTATACAAAAATAAACTAAAATAATAATAATAATAATAAAGAGTTTCGAATGGATTTGTTAAATTAGTCACACTTTCAAAAATGAACGTCACATTAAATTTAAATAATGATAATGATGATTGTAAACAATACAAAAACAATAAAAAAAGAAAAATTTTAAAATTAATATCAGAGCGTTGTAACGCACGCGCACGCACCCACACAGACAACATTTACAATCGAATATATATATATTCATATTCCTGGAAAGTATTTAAATTGAAAAAAAAATAATAAAGTCAGTCATTCAAATCCGATTCGTCAACCATTTATTGATTTTTTTATTGATCGCTTACGAAACATAAAAACATCATTCGAGTAATAAATATAAAATAATAATAATAATAATAATAATAATAATAATAATAACAATAATAATAATTTTATATGTGAAATGTCTGTCATTCATTCATTCATTCTTTAACCTTTTCACTTTAAAAAAATTTTTTTTTTCTTAAAAAAAAAAAAAAACAAACAAATATTAT